TGCCTGAAAAGTGAGCCTGTGTGGGCTTTCTTTCAAATAAACGCCACTAACACTGACGTTTCACACATTAGGTGTGATCTAAGTGTCCAAGTACGTTGTGGACTCTGTGGACGTGAGGCCCGGACGTGGTTTCTGTCATATGTTTTCATAAGCATGTCGGTCTCTATTGTCCTGTTGTTTGGCTTCATTCCACAGTGGATCTGCTGCGCGCGTGATGGACAGAACAATGATGCCGATATCAGACACTGAGGTCACGCTCGCATCCACACCATTACACACTCAATACAAACATTTACCACAACTTCTCTATTTCCTCAATAGTTACATTTAAAACCGCTAAAAGAAATGTTTGGATCAATAGCTGGAATTCTATATTTATCTGGACTGATGCGTGGTTGTTGTTATCAGGCCCGTTTGGAATCTTCGTCGATGGAATTCTGCATTCGAATGCCTGTTGTTTACAAAGTTACAAATGAATCGGAATTGGAATTTGGAATCAAATCTAAAGAAATAAGAATCCAGCTGTTTATCCAGTAGGATCTTAATTGATCCTTTTAGGATTGGTTCCAAACGATAGGATTTCGACTAGCATTCCTTTAGGATCTTTTGACAAGGGCCGAATACCTCACGGCACTAAACGCTTGTTTATTAAGTGTTTCGGCCATTTTGACGACGTTTTCTGTTAAAGATATATGAGGTTCGCTCTATTTAACACATTTTACTGTATTAAAGTCCATTCTATATTATTAATCTTAAAAACAAATGTATTATAATATTTTCCACGATAATTACCACAATGTGCATATGACATTTTCTTAGTTAGTTAAAACTTTATTGTCCAGCTTGAGCTGAAAATTGGTCTTTGGCCTCGCTATACATACAATACACACACTTAGTGTAACTTATTTGCAGATGTTTTTAGTCAGAACCAAGACGTTATATTATAGCCTAAAACATTTTCAAATACAAAGTTCTGTCATGAAACTCTAGGCTGATAGTCCTTAACTCAATCTGTGTAGAATCACATCATTCTCTATAGGGCACAGCTGATTGGTTCCTGCTGTATCAGTAGCCAATGAACTCGCTGCTCAAACTTCAATACTGGTCAGCATTTGCTGTAGCAGTTGCAGTGCGCTTTCAGAAACCCTCCACCTTCCCCAGCTCCACCTGTATAGATCTGATACGGGTAATTCATGTATATTGTACAGCAGCAGCGTGTCTTACTTGCTCACAGCAGTGTGTCTTGCTCAGCAGAAGCATTGTAGCAGATCTATTCTGCAAAGACTAAACATATCAACATTGTCATATCCATAACCATGGCAAAAACTCAAGAGAGTTGTCGTGACAGAACTATACTGACGTAATTATTTTTGCAAAACACAATGGCTAAAAAAAAAAAAAAAAAAAAAAAAATCTGTTTCCTTAAGAAGAAAAACCTCTGATTCGCTTTCTTGCAAATAAGGTCCACCAGAGAAATTCAGTTTACAATTAATAATAGTTCAGAAACAATTTGCACAGGCTAACAACATGATTCCTGTTAGGGGCTCTGGAAGATTTATTTAAAGGTTTGTAGATTGTGGGCCTAGCAATATTTTGAGTATTGATAATAACATCACAAACAGAAATAAACCCGACCAGTAGTCCACAACTCTATAGTACATATGAAAGCACTATATAAATGCCTCATTCATTCATTGATACGGTTGAATACCTGAAGACTCTTCATGACTAGTACTTCAGTTCTTGTTTCCCATGCCACAAATGGTGATATCTTGTCCATGTTGGGGGAACCTATCAATTTCCAACACAAACAATGTGAAACACATGAGATTATGCAGTGAAACAAACAGAAGAGGGTCTTCAGAGGTCACGACCTGTCGCTCCACTCGCCATGCCTGCACAATTGATTCTCTACGGTCTTCATGCTTGAGTCAGATATGAGAAAACCAGAGAGATGAACTCACGGCGAAAGCGTGAATAGTTTCAGGTTCCATACAAGTTAACTCTATGGAAATATGGAAAATAACTTTTACTGTTTACCCTCTGATCACGATGCAAAAAAATGTATGTTCTTCTTCCTCAGTATTTTTGTCTTGTTTTCCAGTGAAAATTTCTGAAGATTCTTAAATCAAGATACGTTTACTTGAGAAGCAAAACGACACAAGTAGTCCTGTTTTCTGAGAATTTGATCAAAATAAAGTTCAAAACAAGAATATGTGCCAATAGGCCGAGAAAAATCAACTTTAAAGGCAAAACAAGTTCGCAGAACCCATTGACATATTTGTTATTGTATTAAGCGTAAACTCACTTAATTTTGAGAAGTAAAACTATTTTGATTTAAAAAAGTTTAGATATTTTTATGGGAAAACAAAACAATACACAAATACTGGTATAGATATTAATCTTTTGAAGTGCATTCAACATTTCATGACACTTTATGAACTTTAATTTGTGAAAGGGTGAATTAGGACTTTTAAAAGCCCACTGAAGTGCCGTGAAACATGCAGCATTATTTAATGTGTAGAAGTAATTCCGCTGAGACAGGAAGACAGGGCGGGACATATCGAACAGCTCCTCCCCCTTTTTTAAATAGCCAATAGCGCAGTATTTATATCAGCAGTTTTCTTCTAATCTCTAACCGTTTCTTCTCCTAATCTCCTCCATATCGCTTTAAAATACAGCATTCTGTGTAGAGTTCAAATGGGTCAGACACGTGAAACCAGACTTCATTCGCCCCGATGGATATGGTAAGCATATTTACACTGTCTGAATTGTTCCCTATCCCCTAGATAGTGCACTATGTGCCATTCACCATGAAGAAAATAGTAAATGTGTGAACAAGTGACTAATTTCAGCCGCAGCTTCAGTGTCTATTTATATAATGTAGGGGGCGGAGCTTCAGATTCTAGAAAGCATTTGATTGGACAGAAAATCTGATGAGAAGATGAAGTGCAGAGTGATGTCATCAAAATCACTGATCCATATTGGTGGAAGTGAGAGACTAAGTTTTGAATGCTTATAACTTCTAAATGTGAATGTTGTCATTGATTTGGAGCGCAATAGCTCATAGATAACAGTGAGGCCAATACATTCATACTAAAAGACAAAAAACTTCAATTTTGATTTCATGGTGACTTTAAGCGCTTTTTAAGACCCACAGAAACCCTGTTATATATTCATCATGAGCAACTTAAAACAGATTCTATAAATGTGCAAGGCAAAACACACCACATCTGTCATATTCTCACATAATTCACAGGTTTATTGACACACTTATAGACAGAACATTCCCACTCCTGCATCAGAACACAGTGTATGAGAGATTCGTTCAGTATCAAAAAACACACAACGTGGCAAACAACAAGCTTGCAGTCCGCTTTTTTTTTTTTGCATAGAAAAGTATTTAGCACACTTTTGAACAAAAACATGTATTTATTTATTTTTGCAGTCACTGGTTTTTATTTGATGCAGTTTTTTTTAAACAATCAACTTTTTTTTCATAATTACTGTTATTACCCCCCAAAATAATTTTAAGGCTAGTAGAAATTACTAAAATTTTTAAATAATAGTAAAGGACATGGCAAGCCATAAAAGGAAATGTAAAAGAAAAAAAAAAGGACATTTTGATGAATGTTTTTTGTAATACATTACAAGCACAATCACTGATCTGAGGTTAACGTGGCATTCAACACGTACGTCTAGATATTCGAAATATTCCTGTCCTGTACTGTCAAACTACTCACATACAACATGCCGGCAGAACTAGTCGTGTAAAAATAAGTCTTCATGCATGAACACGTAGTCTTTAGGACACATCCATCTTTGCAAACTCTTTGTCCCAGCACACAAATGAAAGATTATTCTACATTCATCTACATTATCATCAATGTTCTGCATGGGAAAAATCACACAGCATCTGTCAAGGCTCATATTTAACCCCAAAACCAAAAGAAAAAATAAAGAAAAATAACAGAAATTGTGAAAGAATATGTTTCTAAAAGAAAATCAAGCTCGATTTTTTTTTTGTATTCTGATATAATTTTCACGATAATTAAACAGTTTTCCATCCCCAAATTATTATTAATAATTCCTGTAATGTAATATATATAGTGCTGTAAGATCGATTAATTGCGATTAATCACATTTAACATAAAAGTTTGCGTTTACATAATATTTGTGTATGTGTATATATATATATATATATATGTGTGTGTGTGTGTGTGTGTGTATACTGTATATACACAGACCCCCACACACAGACATATATTATTATATATTATACACACACACACACACACATATAATGTAAACAAACTTTTATGGTAGATGCGATTAGTCTAACTAGTCATCTAGATTCTAGATGATCAGGTCATTATTTGTTGTGCTTACTTTACTGATTAAAATGTACTTATTGTCATTAAAAAAAAATCTTTACAGGCTATATTTTATCCATATAAATTACAATATTAGTTATAATAATTAAGTAATCATTATTATATTATTAGTTATTTTATTCGTCTGCTCTTGGGGTGAAATGAGACTCACCCTTATAAGCTTATTCTTGGTGGAACAGGATCCGCTTCAAACATATTCACGTTTATTGAAATTATGGTAACAGAAAATACACACAAAAAAAGTGATTTAAATCATAATCTGACATAATGGTGCAGTAATTGGATAAAACATTAGGAAATCAGATCCATTGCATAAACCATAAATTGATTACCAATTTGCTGGAATGAAGTTGAATACTGAAGCTTTTCCTTTTCATTGGCCTGCAGAACTAACAGTTAGTCGTGTTCGCATGATTCTGCTGGATAAAAACAGGCAGGAACATACAAACACAAACACAAAACCAAAAAAACATCTATAGTTTTTTATAGAACTATAGAACTTGCTAGAACTCTTGGCGCTCTCCTGTGGAGATAAAATGCTTTTGCTGTGGTTCTGACACAGTGTTTGTGGCGTCTTAAAAGTGTTTGGTCACTTAAAGCAAGTCTCCTGTCGCGTGCCTGAATTGTAACTCAGAGTATTAGACAGAACCCAGAGTCCAGCGCACGCACGAGAAGGACAGAGAGCGAGAGAAAGCGAGTGTGTGTCGGGTCAGGTTGACGCCACGGGCCGCAGCAACTCCAGCTGGGATTCCAGAGTGACTCGCTCCCGGTGCACAACCTTACGGAGAGAGAGAGAGAGAGAGAGAGAGAGAGAGAGAGAAGAAGAAGAGGTGAACTAAAAGTGCTCTGATTATTTGAGATAAGCTAAGCCGACTCGATCAAATTAAACTCACTTTCATTTCAACATTTCCTTCAGGCCTGGATGATATCAAATCAAATAAATATATAAAAAGCACTCTTGCGACCTGAAGCCAAAAGTAAGTGATCTGATATAGATTTATCAAATCCAAATCCCCTAAAGCTTGAATTTACATCATTTGAGTGGTTGCTAACCTTATATGAGCAATAGTACCAGTGATGCTTGAGTAAGCACTAACAAGCTGATCCTCAATTGACAGATGTTGGTGAGCACACAGACATGTGTCACATAAGGAATGCCACTGCTAGACAAAGTGACCCGAGGTCATGACCTTCAGATGACATCAGACAGAAAGGATAAAAGCAACTGGTCTGACACTCACAGACACGTTTATTTCGACCTGTCTTCATTTGTCATTAAAGTCCCGAATATCACATATCTTCCAGAACAATACAGACACACACTGTCAAACAGCCTTCAGTTCACGTCATCTGACACCCATCAGGAACATCTTCTCAAATATCTGCACAGGTCTGACTGCTTTTGATTCAGTGTGTCTGATATTCTCCCAGACTTCATGCATTTTCACCATGAAATGTATAGGCACTTCTGGAAATTTCACTGTGCATGCTCATTTCTCACCTTTTTACATTTATATTATTACCTCTGCCATCATATAATGCTTTAAAACACTTATAATTTAATAACATTGTACATATAATTTTTAGCAAATTTCAAAATGAACATCCATTTTCATATTGTACATTTTAAAGTTCTAACGCCTAAATTCACTTGGAGCATTTAAAACAATTGATTTGGCGTTTTATTTTTTATTATTTATAGAATTTAATAAGAATTAATGCAACAATTATATCTTAAAATGCACACGTCCTCATCCATTCACGGTCATCCTATTCTTAGTCTGTACAGCTACACTATACTTTATTTTCTCCAGCCAAATTAAATAAAATGATTAAATTTAGTCAATTATACTTAAATAATATCTAACTGTTATAGCAAAACAAGCTTAGGATGACATTATTTTATTATTTAAAGGGGTCATGAACACAGAAATCAAATTTTTCTTGAGCTTTTGACACATAAGAGGTCATCATACTATAAGAATATCCTGCAAGTTTCAGAACTGAAAACATCCATGTAATGTTACATGCAAAAACAGCTTTTATTGTGACCAAGCCCAGCGAACGACTCGTTGTGGAATGTGTCTATACATGAATATCAGATGATGTCGCCAACGTCTCCTCACTGACGTCACTCACTTCTAAAACTTGTCTGCCGCCATCTTGAGTACCTGATTCGGCAAGATCGATACGGCAGTCGCAACATAAATCTGTAACGTTCGTTATTTTGAATAGAAATCATCGCTCAAAGCATTCATTCACGTCTTCTCCGGTTCATTTGTGTTCAAATACATGCGATATATAGCATCCGCCAGGGCTATTAGTCCAATGGTGCGCATTTTTGGAGAAATAATGATTAATTATCACGTTTGTAAAATATTTCGTCATACAGAATGACATTTCTATTTATTTCCCACTGAATTATGCGATCTGAAGAGCTCAAACAGCGAATGCAGCGAGATCTGTGTCTCCTTTTCCTGATTTGCGTCAAATTATGATCTCAGCGCGCGCTCATTCGCTGTACAGCTGTCAATCATCTTAACGTTACGTGGTTCAACGTGACCATTATCCTGCCTCCTCATTCTGACATCCGTGATAACAAAGCTAAAGTAACATCTCTTCACCTGAAACAAGAAGCTAATAAATGCACGATTTGAAGTATATGTGATTTGTGTGTGATCTTGCGATTGGGGTATTCATACGAAAAAAAGAATGTTTACAGTATGCATGCTAGGTAAGGATAGCCCATAGCTTCGTATACAATGCTAAATATAACATATTTAAAAAAAATAGTTTGACTTGAAACCAATTTAAGCCGCGACCGGAATATGATACAAATACTCGATGGTGTTTTAAAGTGAGTTAAGTAAAAGTGTAATATTAATCAATTAAATTGTGTCATGTAGCTTTATGCTACCTGTTGTGCTAATGCACCTGCTGCAGGAGCTATTCTATTCCATACAATAATTAAGAAAAAAAGAAGTCAAATAATGTTTATTAGTCAAGAATAGTTATTTTGTTGTTTGTTTTCTAACAAGACTTAAGATAATAGGCTTGTCAGTACCATAGACAGTATTCGGTAGGTACTCAAGATGGCGGCAGCCAACTGGAAAAAGAGTGGTTGACGTAAGAGGTCACGTGACTGATATTCATGTATAGATCTTCTGAAGCCTCTGCAGAAGAAAATCATGCCGCCTTCATCATTGCAACTTTGGCCCCGCCCACTGGCGTGTTAGTGAGACGAAGAGAACGAGGAGCGGAGAGCTATCAGTGGATCACTGGACTATATAACATTACCTTCCAAAGGATCCTAATGCTAGGATTGTGGTTATTTATTTTCAATAATGTGTATGTCTCAGTTGAGCATTATTTATTTGTATTCGGTACATTTCACTGTGGATTCTTTGGTAAATCAGTCGCAATTTCGGCGCATGCTTTGCAGACAGACTTTTACGATATGGACTCGACAGTAATGCCACAACATGTAAGTAACTGTGTTAATTCTAATGCCTGGTCTGTGATCAGTGATTTCTGATATGTAATGATTCATGTACAGTCAGAGGTTCTTTGTCTGTGTGTCAGTAAATCAAACCAGTGACTAAACGGTCAACTTCACATTGTTTCTCTTAGTAGGATGAAAATAATCTGTTATTTAAACTGGGATTAATTATATATAGAAAGTGATCAAAGAACGCTCACTTTGCAATCACTGGAGCTGTCAATCAAACAGCACAAGTTTATCTGTGACTCTTGCCAAAACTCCCGTTATAATCAACTAATCTCGTATTTACATTGTGTTTGCACTGTTAGTTATGATGAAAGCATTCGTTAGTGTGCAGAAATTGAGTTGCAATGACAAGATCACTGCGCTCAACATGTCTGTGATCAGCTTACAAGCTCATCACTGCAACCTTTTATGGCACGATCTGCATATAATGCTATAGATCTAAATATAATGCTATAATCAACACTTTTCGCGATTAGTTAACCATTAAAGCTGTAATAGTAAAAACGCGCAAAAAAAATTCACGAGAGTTCCACATGTAATCCTAGCTATTCCATATGCAAAGATGTCAGCCAATCACAGCAGTGGACGATTACATTGAAGTCTCACAGCCAATCACAGCTGTGGACGATTACACTGAAGTCTCACAGCCAATCACAGCAGTGGACAATTACACTGAAGTCTCACAGCCAATCACAGCAGTGGACGATTACACTGAAGTCTCACACAGACACGACCCTTAAACAGAGCGTTCAAATCAGGTCAAAATCAGGGTAGGAAAAATTACTTTTATTTCTAAATTATGATCATTTTTGATGCAAAAATAATACTAACATTATAAGTGCACCCCAGGAAACATTATAAAACAATGCAGTTCATGACCCCTTTAAAATGATATGATTAATTAAATTTATTACATTTAAAATTTACTTTAAAATGTTGTTTTAAATATATATTTACATTTATTCATTTAGCTAAATGAATAAACGTACAAATTAAATAAATAATTCAATTGAAAACAAAAGCAAACACTTTCTAATGTGAGATTCATAGCATAGCGTGCAGTGGTCTGCAGGTTAACCGTTTCCCAGAATGCAGTGCAACCTGATCTGCACATGAGCATTAATGAACAAGAGTCTAGCGTCTTTCACTTTTCATTTCCCTCACTTTCTTTCTGCTCTCACAGTCAGTGGGTAAAATGCATTTCCAAGCACACACACACACACACACACACACACACACACACACACACACACACACACACACACACACACACACACACACACACACACACACACACACACACACACACACACAGCTGCTGCAGGATGCACTATTTTAAAGAAGACAACTGCTTGAGGCCGAGTCTAAGCTTGCATTTTCAGAAAGCCAGACTGTGTGTGTGTGTGTGTGTATGTGTTCATTGAGCGGATCTCTGAATAAATTGAGGACCGCAACTGTAAACCATCTTCAGTCACTCAATAACTCTTGAAGGTAACACAAGCCGTCTGTGTGTGTATATATAAAAGCAGCATGCGCTCGATACGAGACTAGAGATATGTGATCAGTCAGGGTAGGGGTGTCGGAAATAGTATGAGCTGCCAACTAACCTAAAACTAATGTGTGAGCAGACAGCTTCAATCTTCAGATCCTATCATATGAGACTGCTAACATCTTCAGCATCACTGGCCGGCGTTTATTTATTAATGCTTCTTGGAATAAGCATGTGTAAGAACTATTCCTGTACAGTGTGTGTGTGGATCTGGCTGACACACCTTTAGCTGTTGCTGTAGTTCACTGTTGAGACGTGTCAGGACTGCGTTGGTTTCTCGGTTCTTCCTGATGGCCATCTGGATCTCTCTCTTCTGCTTGGGTGGAGGCCTGGAACACAACACGATAATCACGAGCGCTGTCTGCACGTGTGGATGAGCTTTAATGATGTTCAATTCAGGATCCCACTTGTTTAGCGTTTATAAATCACTGATACATGCTGTTTGTTCCCTAATGTTTTGTGTAAGAGGGGTGTTTATTGATATATTCATTTTAGGATTCATATTTAATATTATATAGTTGTATAAATTATTATTTTTGAAGTTTCTAATGTACATATTAGCTTTATATATATATATATATATATATATATACAGTTGTGGCCAGAATTAATGGCACCCCTGGTAAATATGATCAAAAATGGCTGTAAAAAATAAATCTGCATTGTTTATCCTTTTGATCTTTCATTAAAAAAAACAGCAAAAATATAACCTTTCATTGAAGTAAAATAATTGAAAGTGTGTGTGTGTGTGTGTGTGTGTGTGTGTGTGTGGGGGGGGGTCACATTATGAATCACATATAATATCCATTCTTGTATATTTAATATTATTATTGCATTTTTTTCTAATTTATTTGCAATATGTAATCTTTAAACTATAATATGCTGTTGTAAAGATTGCCATTCTTGTTCATTTTTTAGATCAATAAAAATGAATAAAATAAAGATATATGGACCTCTGTGTAGATTTGGTCAATGTGGCAGCAGAGTAGGGCGTGGCCAAGGGGGGCGTGGCACTCAGGCTTTCTGGGTGGAGCTTTCTTCGGACTGGCTTCTGAGGGGCGTGGCCTTGTTGCACCACTGTGGAATCCTGGGAAGTGGTTTAAATGTTTCAGGTAGACTTTGAGAGAAACTTCATCAAACATGCCCTAAACATCAGTACACTGAGGAGCAGTAGAAGATGCATTATGTTCATGGTCTGTGAGCATCTGTGAGATATGGAGCCCTATTTAAGGGTCTCAGATGAGGCGTTAGGTGCTGGTTTAATGGAAAGGGGTCAGGTCTTACCGATTTGGGTGCCAGGTCTTCTGTGCTGAGAGCTCCTGTCACAATGGTCTCCTGCTGTCAGAGGAAGAGGAGTTTGAGATCAGGAGGCTTTCAATGTTAGTTTTCCAAAGCAATTTGTAACATTAACCAAGACAACAGGACGTTTATGAGGATCTGTTATCATGCTGGGCTTCATTCATTCCTTATTTTTTATTTACACTACTGTTCAAAAGGATCGGTAAGATTATGTTTATTTTACACACGCATGCAATTCAATTTGAAATTTTAAGCTTAAATGGAGAGAAGAATAAGAAGATAGATGAAAGTTAATTTATCCACATATACAACAGACTTCCTTAAAGGGCCTCTATTATGCTTTTTTTGAATATGACCTTTCATGCAGAGTGTAATATAGCTGTTTGTGAATGTGAAAGGTCTGCGAAGTTTCAAAGGTCAAAGTGCAGATAAATAGAGTTAGTGTCTCCTAAAAGAAAGAACCGATTCTGAACTGCTGTAACGAGTCGTCAGTAATTCCTGCTACATACCCAAGTAACAATGTAACAAATTCGCTTAATGCCAGTCTATGGTCTTCATTGGCGGCCGGCGAACGACATCTACTTTGACCCTCAAACACTGTAGTTGTAGTGGAGACTGGAAGAGTTTGGTTCGTGTGTCGATATGTTGAGAAGACGCCGTTTTCTGCGAAAGCAAATCCTCTTTACAACGCTTCCAAAGCATGAGGACTCGCGCTGGAATTGATACGGTAAAACCATCGCTACTGTTCGTATCACACGCTGAGGAAGATCCAGAGCTGAAATTCAGATATGGTAATGGCCTTTTCAAACTGACCAATCAGAGCAGAGTAGAACAATCACAACAGCCTGGGCCATCTGACCAATCAGAGCAGAGTAGACCAATCACAACAGCCTGGGCCATCTGACCAATCAGAGCAGAGTAGACCAATCACAACAGCCTGGGCCATCTGACCAATCAGAGCAGAGTAGACCAATCACAACAGACTGGGCCGTCTGACCAATCAGAGCAGAGTAGACCAAATCACAACAGCCTGGGCCGTCTGACCAATCAGAGCAGAGTAGACCAATCACAACAGCCTGGGCCGTCTGACCAATCAGAGCAGAGTAGACCAATCACAACAGACTGGGCCGTCTGACCAATCAGAGCAGAGTAGACCAAATCACAACAGCCTGGGCCGTCTGACCAATCAGAGCAGAGTAGACCAATCACAACAGACTGGGCCGTCTGACCAATCAGAGCAGAGTAGACCAATCACAACAGCCTGGGCCGTCTGACCAATCAGAGCAGAGTAGCTCTCAGAAAGGAGGGGTTTAGAGAGACTGAATCCTTGATTGAACCATTCAGACACTGTGAGACTCCACAAAAAAAAATTAGGAACCTTTAAAATATCATAACAGGGGCATACTAGTCTGCATTTTCCCTTAGTCCTCTCTTTCCAAAAGCTGCAATTTCCGAGTCTCTCACACAGAGGATGTGGGCAAAGAAAAAGTCGAGACGTAGAAGTGAAGGCCGCATTAAATTCTTTAAAGTGAATTACACAGCTCTCCCTCAACGCTGGCTCAGGATACGACACAGTGTGCGTTCATGGATCACTGAGGGCGTAACATCAATCCCGACATTCTCAGCAAACACTCTCTGGCTTACAACATCCCACTTACACTGCTGTATTTCACACAAATGTGACTACTGTTTATTCAATCACGCGTGACTGAAACGTCCATATTTCCACGCTATCGTACTCTGTCAGTGTAGTGTAAACATTCAATCACTTCGTAAGAAAATGCAATACGTTGGCTAAAAAGCCCCCGGCGCCCAGGACTGTGGTCGTTGTGGCACAGGGAATCTGTTCTTTATGGCACAATGAAAAGTAATAGCAGAAACAGGCCAATTGCAAGGCTGTAAATTTGTCTAAAAAGTCATAAATGATTTGATTTGCTGCGACAGGAGTTATTTCACCCAGCTACCCTCGGGACAAAACACAAGAGTTATGACCGCCATACAGCCGCGTGAAGGTAACGGTGCCCATCGCCGCCTATAAAACTCAGAAGGACCATTACATGGGCAAAGGAGTGTTAAATAAAAACAAGTGTTCCTACAAATAGCACAGCGACTTGGACAAGTTGTGACCGGGCCGAACACCTGCCCAGTGTAACCTGCTGTGTGAGAGAAACATCGCTTAGTTAGATAGGGTCAAATATCCTAAACCGGTCAGCTAAAGCTGTTTAGCACATGGATACAGTCATCTGCATTCACAACAGCGCCACCTGTTGTTTGTATAATGTAATGAGCTGTGAATTCATGTCACATGGTAATATTACACAAAATATAAAAGAATAAGCTCACAGAATTATTTCTATTTACCAGAGGATAGCAAAGCTCAAAGAAAAAAAGGTTCCTTTATACCTGCAGATTTATTTTGCAGTTTGTATGTTCTTTTATAATTACTCAATTGATTTTTAAAAAATGTAATATTTAAATAAATAGTTAACTTTTAGGTGACATGATTCATAATTGTTTCTGATAGAGTTTGCTAAGCCAATGACGCAATAGTCCAAAAAGCATACAAATATAAAAGCACAGAACATTTTTAAACAATTTCTAGTTTTAAAAAACGACTTTGTTTAAAATAAAATTATGATTATTATAATTAATAATATAATAAAATAATAATATTACTATTGTTATATAATATAATATAATAAAATAATAATGCTGCTATTATTCTCTCCAAATATTAATTCTATTTTTCCGAAAAAACAAAGAAAGCCAAGTCAAAGAAAGTCAATGGCAGTGAAAGAGTTAAGACAGTTTCGGGTGACTCGACGACAAATGCTAGACTAAAATACTCTTCTCCACTCCTCAAATACATAAAATATTAGCCTTTATATATAGTGTTTATTGAGTAAAGAGACTGTGTGCGGCACTTCATTCAGAGTTATGAGGTTTGATTGACAGTTTGAGGATCCAATGGAGATATGAGGTTCAGTCACAAGCTCTTTTTAATACTTTTCATTGGTTAAATATTTGCGAAACCCACAGACAGACATAAAGGTGAAAAAATGAAAAAATATGGAGAAATTTGTTTTACCATTAGAGTGAAATTATTAATAATAATTAAAAAGAAATATTTATCCTCATCGTAACTGGAGAAATAAATCCAGCCCTGATCCCCCCCTCAAATCGAGCCCTGCGTATAACTATATAAGCTTAATAAGTCAATAAATGATTATAAAATGTTTCTGTAACAGGAACTGAAACAAAGCATGGCTGTTTCTTTAATATCACATCATAATACTGAACACTGCATAAATATACTCCGTCTCTCATTCGTCCGCACTCAGGAGAGATGATGATAATAACACGGTGTGATTCAAGGTCAAACATGAATCTCTTGGTTCCTGCTCAGAGTTTAATTAGGAATGAGCGCTTCCCCCTGAAGGAAACTGACAGATCTGAGATGTAAACGAGTGGAAAGTAAGTGATGGAGGATGTTTTCTGAGACTGTGTTTCCATGACATGTGCCCTGAGCTCTGGATGAAGCTCAAGTGAATAACGAACACCTCAGGGATGCTGTGTTGTCTTTAGATAACAATGGACATAAAAAGAGACAAAGAACAAATCAAATGCAATATGAAATTGAACCCAGATACAATTAATCGGAAGCTGTCAGGTCTAGTCCTAAAACGAGATCCTGTGTCAGTGTTATATATATGACAGGAGAAGTCAACATCTGACAGTAGGTCAGGTCATGTGAGCAAAACAATCATCTTTGCCAGAATTTGGCACTTATAGAAAGGAAAACTTGTCGCGGCGAAAGAAAATTTGCTAGATTTATGGCATCCGTGACAAAGCACCATAAACAACGTCACAGAAATAGCGCTCAACAACCCGAATGCACAAGAGACGCGATTCATAATTGATAGAGTTTGCCAAGCTAATGATACAATACTCATTAAAGCATACAAATACAAAAGCATACAAAAAAATTGAAGGTAAAACATTTTTAAAAACAAGTCCATTATTATATAGATTTTTTAATACCACTTTATTGGGAAAAAATATATATACATAAAATGTAAAAAAAAAAAAAAAAAAAAAAAAAAATCCTTTATTTCCTATTTATATTTATGCTTTCCTATTTATTAATTTGGATTATTTTAAGGAGCAAAAAAGGCATAAAATAAATGAAAGTAAAACAATTCCAAAAACAAGTCCATTGTTGTTTATATTTTTTTTAATCTGTATTTTTTAGTCAATGCTTTTATTCAATACTACTTTATTGGAAATATAATTAAATATTATAATAATATATAAAAAATTAAATAACTATTTATTGCTATTATTCTCTCACAATTGTTTTAAATATATTTTAACGAGTATAAAAAACATCCAAACAATAAAGGTAAAACAATTCCAAAAAGAAGTCCAATATTATTTAGATTTATTTTTATTTAATACATTTTTATGCAATGCTTTTATTCAAAACAACTTTATTGAAAATAAAATAAAAAAATATTTCTTATTTATTACTATTATTCTCACTTTTTTAATGAGTATAAAAAGTATACAAAAAATCATTTTTATTATATTTTATATAATAAATATTATATATATATATATTAAAATATATATTTTATATTTTTATTCATTCAGATTTTATTCAATGCTTTTATTCAATACAACTTTATTGAAAATAAAATAAAAAAATCTTTCTTATTTATTACTATTATTCTCACTTTTTTAATGAGTATAAAAAGCATAAAAAAAATATTTTTTATTATATTTTATATAATAAATATTATATATATATATATATATATTAAAATATATATTTTATATTTTTATTCAGTCAGATTTTATTCAATGCTTTTATTCAATACAACTTTATTGAATATATAAAATAAAATAACAATATTTCCTATTTATTTAAAATGGATTTATTTTAAGGAGTATAAAAAGCATACAAAAAAATAATGGTCAAACAATTCCAAATTCCCATCATAAACTTTTAAAACACTAATAATATTACTATGATGCCTCAAAAATGCAGAATAGCGACTTTCTAGGTTCTGAAAGCGTACTTGTCAGATGTGCCTGATTAAGACACTGTGTTTCTCTGTCCAATAATGACCTCAGAAAGCCATAACTCACACAACTATGACAAATGAATTTCACGCAGTGATCACATTCCCCCTCACCGCTTTACAGAAGCCAAAAGTTAAAAGCGTGAAGGGGTAAAAAGGCCATAAAGATGAAGGAACGCTTGCGGTCCGAGATGGTTAAAGCTCTCTGGAGGCTTCAGGGGAGTTATGAGGATTTGATCAAGCCAGAATCCCTTCATATAGAGTCTGCGCTCATATCTTCATATCTTATACGAGTATTAGCTTTCATAGACAGGGCTTGAGCACAGATATTTGCAGGTGCCTGTGCTGTCAAAACAGTGTGTGTGTGTGTGTAATGTAAGCTGAGGTTGTGTAACGCTGATGAGTGTGTGTGTTTTCATTGGGCTCCTGTGGCTTTATACTCTTATTAAACTGTGGGAAACTGCCGTCTCTTCCCAGCCTGCAGCCACAGAAACATGAGAAGACACACATCAGCGAGTGTGTGTGGACAGAACGGGTGAACGTGTTCACACACACTGAAAAGAGGAAGTGCAGACTTTTCAAAGAGGACACGTAATTAATAACTGAGAAAGAAACGATGACAGACAGCAGGAAGACTGTGTGTGCAGAATTTCACTGAGGATATATTCATTTCAATGAACCAATTTATGTGATTAAAAAGGCAGATTTGAGTTCGTAGAACGAACAAATATATAAAAAATGAGTTACATATATATTCTTTAGACAGCTCCATATACAGCTGCGCAACTGATACTTTGATGCTTCAAAACGTTCATAAAGAGATCGTAAAACTAATCCATATGAATTGAGCGGTTTAGTCCAACATTTTCTGAAGAGACTCAATCGCTTTATATCATTGAAGATTGAAGAGATTATTCAAATTTAAACATTGATCAGCGAACATAAACAGAAGCTCAACCGAACCTGCTTGACACGCGAGAACGAACCTCATTGGTTCTGGCTGAAGGTCAAATATTCTGCCTAACTAGAGCTGCACGATTCATTGAAATCAAATCAAAATCAAGTTTTGGCTTATTGCGATTTATGAAATTGTATCTGATCTGTGATCAGTAGTAAACGCTGCTCCATCTGAAAGCACTGCGAGTTTGAGTCGCTTATAACGTTCATTTGAAAAAGCAACACACGTCAAACATCTTCCCAAACTTGCAATGTGAAGCGTTTATAAACCTGTTGTCCAACAAACATTTAATAACATGTTTTTACTCACTTCATATCGTCAGGCAAGTGTTTCAAATGGCCTTTTGTGAGCTGATGTGGCTTCTTATAGAATGAGGCGGACAGTATATTGTTTTATAGTAAGTCTCTTCAGAAAATGTTGACTAAACCATTTAATTCATATGGATTAGTTTTATAATCTCTTTATAAACTTTTTGAATCAAGCATGAAAGTGTCTCATTGAGGGACAGAAATCTTTATTTGTGTTTCGAAATTGAATAAAAGTCTTACGGGCTTGGAACGACATTAGGGTGAGTAAATAATGACAGAATTTAAATTTTTGGGTGAACTATCCCTTTAACTAACGTTAACATATGGAAACTTACTGTAAAGTGTCACCAAAATTATGTAAATGTCCTCATTCTTACTGTACACTATGGAAGCTTGTTTCCGCCACAGAATGAAAAATAAAAAAGGTAATTGCGACTTTTTATCTCACAATTCTGACTTTTTTTCTCACAATTGCGTTTACATCTCGCAATTCTGACTTTATTTCTCAGAATTGCGAGATATAAATTCAGAATTGCGTGATATAAAATCGCAATTGCGTGTTATAAAGTCAGAATTGCGAGATATAAAGTCAGAATTTATTGATATAAAGTCGCAATTGCAGGTTATAAAGTCAGAATTGCGTGATATAAAGTCGGAATTGCGTGATATAAAGTCGGAATTGCGTGTTATAAAGTCAGAATTGCGAGATATAAAGTCAGAATTGCGAGATATAAAGTCAGAATTGCGTGATATAAAGTCGGAATTGCGTGATATAAAGTCGGAATTGCGTGATATAAAGTCGAAATTGCGTGATATAAAGTCGAAATTGCGTGTTATAAAGTCAGAATTGCGAGATATAAAGTCAGAATTGCGAGATATAAAGTCAGAATTGCGTGATATAAAGTCAGAATTGCGTGATATAAAGTCGGAATTGCGTGATATAAAGTCGGAATTGCGTGATATAAAGTCGAAATTGCGTGATATAAAGTCGAAATTGCGTGTTATAAAGTCAGAATTGCGAGATATAAAGTCAGAATTGCGTGATATAAAGTTGAAATTGCGTGTTGTAAAGTCAGAATTGTGAGATATAAACTATTCTGAGGGGAAAAAAGACTAACTTTTTTTTTCTCGCAATTGCGACTTTATTTCTCATAATTGCGACGTTATTTCTCAGAATTGCGACTTTATTTCTCAGAATTGCGACTTTATATCTCGCAATTGCGACTTTATTTCTCACAATTCTGACTTCATATCTCGCAATTGTGAGATAAAAAGTCGCAATTATTTTTTATTTATTTTTTATTCAGTGGCGGAAACAAGCTTCAATAGTACACAGTTCATTTACTATTGTATGAATACAAAATGAATGTTCTAAAAAAATAAAATTAACTTGATTCCAGTCCCGCCCTACATTATTTCCTGCTGGATATTCTGTTTCAGTCAGAACTATGTCACATCAGAAGTTAAATGTTGGTTTATGTTGCTCAAATGTCAGTTCAGTGATTCTCACATCTGAGGTTAACAAATTGTGTGTTTTTAATAGAGAGGATCAATGTGAACGTCTACTCACCTCCTCACTAAACTTGCTGAAATCTGCAAAGTTTGGCTGATGAACGGCCTTCTGGGAACTCTTCTCTGAGCCAGGCATGAAGCTGAAGATCTGAGACATTGAATTAGGACACAAGTTATTATACAACACAGAATAGTAAAGTACAAAAGACAATTAAATATTTTAAAGCAAACTAAAAGGTAGGTATCCAATCACTGAAACAGATATACAATCTGATTAAATGAGCCATGTTTAAAACCATAGTAAAACAGCTGATATAAACTGCACATCAGTTAAATTCTACATCAATGCACCAAAGTTGCTATAAAATAGACCATCTTTGACCAGCAAAAAAATCAGTCAATTGGTTTGTGGAACACGGAAGCTGGTCAAACATCTAATGACAAGCTAGAAACCAGTTACCATGTTTTAAAGGGGCAGTATGTAGAATTCAGAAACGCTTGTTATTAGTGACACTGGTGGCCGTTAAGTGAACTGCAGGCAGAAACAACTGTGCTCTAAAGCGGCTATATGTAAGAATATTCATGTATGCAATCTGTTTTCTATTGCCAACAGCTTTTAACGAAACTTAAAAAACGACACCTACCCCCACTTCCTAGGTTGTCTGCTTTTTAAGTGTCGTTAAAAGCTGTTGGCAATAAAAAACAGATTGCATACATGAAAATTCTTACATATAGCCCCTTTAGAGCACAGATCCCATCTTAAACTGGATTTGCAATCAGCAAATACGTGAAATGAGGAGATGCTGTGGAGTTCACCTGCGTCGCTGGGGGTCGTGGAGGAAGAGCTGGAGGAGGAGGCAACCACACACTTTTACCACCTGAGACAGGAACAACATATTCAGAAACACTTCACGGCCAAGCTGAAACTGCTGCTACTGTACTGATGTTCTTTTTCAGGACAAATATTCTGCACAACAATATTTAAATAAAACAATTAAATGAATATAAATGACTTCACAGCCAGTACTGTGTGTACTGCAATCATCTATTGCTTTCGCACCAATTTTCGCAGTAAAATATTGAGAAGTAATCACAAGAAAACAAGGTGTCAGTAAGATTGTTTGGTTTATTTTGATGGTCCCTTTAACACATTCTGCAACTACATGTCTACTAACTCTCATTAGAGTGTTAGTAGACTGGCAGGGTCAGGGTTAGAATAAGTTGCCATGTAGTTTCAGAGTTACTTATAGTCAGCAGAGTGTCTGTTTAAGGAGCATCACAATAAAGAGTTAGCATATATTAAGCAGACAATCTACTAATACTCTACTGAGAGTTAGTTGACATGTAGTTGCAACGTTACTTCTAGTAAGTAGAATGTTCAAAAGGGACCATCAAAATAAAGTGTTACCGTTTTTTTTTATTTTTAAGAAATTAAAAATATTTATTGTGCAAGCATTCAATTAATCAAAACTAACAGTAAAGACATAATGTTTTTTAAAGATTTCTATCTAAAATAAAGGCTGTTTATAAAAAAAAAAATCCTGAAGAAAATGCATCACTGTTTTCAACATTGATAATAATCAGAAATGTTTCTTGAGCAGCAAATCATCCTCAGAATGATTTCTGAAGGATCATGTGACTCTGAAGACTGGAGTAATGATGATGAAAATTCACCTTAGATCACAGGAATAAACTATATTTGACAATATATTCACATAGAAAACAGTTATTTTAAATTGTAATAATTTTTCACAGTATTTTTTTTTAAACTATATTTTCAAGCAAATAAATGCAGCCTTGATGAGTATAAAAGTCTTTACTTAATCTTATTGACCCCAAACCTTTGAACAGTAGTGTGTGTGTGTGTGTGTGTGTGTGTGTGTGTGTGTGTGTGTGTGTGTGTGTGTGTGTGTGTGTAAGAACACACACACACACACATATATATATATATATATATATATATATATATATATATATACATAGAACATTTTGGAAGCTACAGTGAGTTCAATGTACTAAAAATCAAGACTAGGTAATTTTTGTAATTGTTTGCATGCCATGAAAACTCACTGAGCATTTAAAGAATGATGAGAATTCAGCATTGCACTCTGTTTATAGATTTAGTGCAAAAATGATTTATGGAAATTTTACTCCTTGAAACATTTAGTTGGCTCAGACAGCGGTTTAATAGCACTGGATTCCGGATGTGTGTTCATGTGTCTCTGTTCACATGTGAACACATTTGAGTCATTCAGAGCTTGTAACAAACCTCTCAACATTTAGTAACATTGTCTTTCAAGATAGAAAAAATAGAAAAGAACCACCGCTCATTCGTCAAAAATAGTCTTGTAGAGAGCTGCTACATGAAATCATCATGGAAAATTGTTAAAAATACAGCAGCCGCACACTCAAACACTGTGCAAGATCAATTTAATTGTGCGGCTGCTGTATTTTTACAAGTAACATTATCTTTAAAATGATTAAGACCGACTCAGAATTTTCTTAACTTCTGGGGTTTTTCACAACTGGGGCCAGAACTTGATCTAAAAACTACAAGCACATAGACTTGTTTTTCAAGCAGATACGTTTCTTGTCAACGCTCTTCTCAAGCATTGGTATGGCAGTGCATTACTCTCACTGTGTAAACCTGCAGCTTCATACATTTAAAGAATAAACTTTCAATATATTCTCAGTCAATCCTGTTACAACATCTGCAAAAAACAGCAGTGAAAGAATCCACAAAACTAAAGGTGCTTCGACGTCTAATGTGCCAACACAACCCTAGAACGTGCCAATACCGCATCGACACAGTCAAATGTTTACTTTTATTACATTCATTTGAATTTATCTCAACGTCTGTACTTTATATTCTCAGTATATGAAAGTCTGTGTGTGTATACAGTTGAAAGACGTGAGGAATGTCGGGATGGGTGTGAACCTTGACTGCTCTGTTGGAAGAGCTTGTTGAGGTCGAGAGAGGAGGCGCGGGAGTGAGTCTTCTGGGGTCGAGGAGGAGGAGTGGGCGGCTCCTCCACCTTCTTCATGGCATCATCTATAGACGTGCTGGAATATGACCTGGGGGTAACACACACACACACACACACACACACACACACACACGGACACACACACGGAGACACACACGGAGACACACACGGAGACACACACACACACACACACAACTTGAGCTTGTTATAAATATCATAACCTAACTCTAACCCACAGACTAACCTTAAAAGAAAACTTTTCATTTTTTACAAACGAGAATGTCCCCTAAAGGGGATTTTGGAAGATTTTGTCAGGTTTAGCTCACTTCAAATTGAATAATTAATAAATGGAATAATTCATTATAATAATAATAATAATGTCTTAATACATTTAAACAAACCCCGAAGCCTGTGTTTTTATATATACAGAATCAAATGTATACCCTAATTAATAATTCATAAATTATATATGCACTACTGTTCAAAAGTTTGAGGTCAGTATGATTTTTTTTTTAATGTTTCTGAAAGAAGTCTCTAATGCGGCTGTTTTTATTTGATCAAAAGTACAGTACAATCAGTAATATTGTGAAATATTATTACAATTTAAAATAACAGTTTTCTATGTGAATATATTTTAAACTGTAATTTATTCCTGTGATCAAAGCTGAATTTTCAGCATCATTACTCCAGTCTTCAGTGTCACATGATCCTTCAGAAATCACTCTAATATGATTTGATGCTCAGGAAACATTTCTGATTATTATTAATGTTGAAAACAGTTGTGCTGCTTCATATTTTAGTGAAAACAGTGTTACATTTATTTTCAGGATTCTGTGATGAACAGAAAGTTTCAAAGAACAGCAGTTATTTCAAATAGAAATCGTTTGTAACATTATAAGGGTCTTTGCAGTCAATTTTGATCAATTTAATGCATCCTTACTAAATAAAAGTGTTTATTAAAAAAAATTGACCCCAAAACTTTTGAACAGTAGTGTAACGGTAGTGAGTTTTTACCTGGGTCGTGTTCTTGACTTCATATTCGCGTCAAGCTCTTGTGGAGAATCTGTAAAATATTTGTATGTTAATTACACAGTGATACAGTAAAAGTATTATTTCTGCATTAAACCCCTAAAGTAAAAGCATATTTATTTCATTTAAAAAAACAAACAAAAGCATTCTGTTCAGAAACAAAATAAAAGTATTATTTTATTTACCCGTCATCTACAAGAAAACCTAAAGTTATAAGACGTTCCTGAGCTGAACTGCTCTCTCACATCTCAACAGAAACACTGAATCGTAACAATAAAACATCAAACACACTCGATACTATCCAAACAATCCCATCTGAACACCTCAAACAGGCCTGTCTCCTATCCCATCATGCACTGCGGCATTGACGAAGACTCTCTCTTTTCTACCAACACTAGGGGAAAAAGCATTTCATAAAAACCATCTTGGAAGCAAAGTGCAGGTCAACATCGCATTCAAACCCAAGTAATAAAGCAGGGAGAGTGCGGGATTATTTGTGAACGCCCAGGGATCTGGGCACTTCAATAAATATAAGCCGTTATGGGATCAGAGCAGACTGCATGAAATATCAGCACAAAAGGTCAGCGCTGTGGATATAACAGGATTTGTGTCCACACCCAGAGGCGCTGAGGGGTTATACTCCATAACATCACACCCATCAGCAGAGAAAATAACAAACAGGCCTCCGCTATACAGCTTCATCTCAAGACAATACGAGCGGGTTAAATCTCATCATGAGGAATATTCTGTCAGTATTATTTACTCATGTTGCTGCAAAATTACAAACAGAAAAAGAAGATGTTTTGCAGAGTGTTCATGCTGCTCTTTTCCATACAAAGAACATGAATGGACACTATTGAGCTAAAAAAACTTTTTAGGTTTAGGGTTTGTTTAAAGCTGCAGTCCGCAGTTTTTCCTCTTTGTCGTCATCTCATCTCTGTTCGAAATCTGCAATTGCAGTTATTTGCGGAATTATCAACTTTACGTGAGTTGTGCCTCGGCACGGCACAGCGCGGATGAACACAATGATTTGAGCAGCTGTCAGTCGCGCCGGTGTGGATACTGGCATTCGCAATCACAGATTCTGCTTTTTGCAAGTATGACCGACATAAGAATTTTCACCGGAAAATGTAATCTGAACAAGTAACATCCACGTTTGTTCTGACCAACTAAGGGGAAAAAAAGCATTGCAGTAAATCGCGCTGATTAAATCTAACGATCGCTTATCATATCACGTCAAACCGTGCAAATTATACTTTGTTCTCAAATTGTTAATGTTCAACATCAGCATTGCATGACTACATTTAATGCCCTTCTGATATGTATCCTTGTTTTTCCATAGGCCGGTTGCAGTCTCTTTTTTTCTGTAGCCACTCCGAAGTTTTTTGCATTTTACAGCGGGTGAATCTGTTGTCACTGGTGATTGTCGTTTGAACCTTTCTGGATCCGCCATCCAATTGATAAGTTTAATTATATCAAGTGCTGTGAGAAAAGGCTATAAATCTCCACCTCCAGCATCCTCACACACAATATAGCCTACTAGCCGAGACTCATTCTTTATGTGTACAGATGTGTGTGTACAGATGTGATGTAATGACGCAAACACATGCAAGAATTTGGAAATCCACCAGTACCACTGGAGTTAAAAACATTATTACAAGCATTTTGAATCGAGCTAAGGCAAGTTTTGAACACTGGCTGGTTATGTACTTGCTCAAATTTATTTTGGATTATTTTTAACACAAAAAAGTTACGGACTGCAGCTTTAAATAATATAATAAATATAACATAAGTATTTATTTATTTATTTTAATTATAATAATACATTTGTTAATAAAATGTAAACACATTTTGAACAGATTATTAGGGTTTAAATATAATAATAATAATAATAATACATTTATTTTACATATATACATTCATTTATAATACAAAATACAACATAACATTTTAATCTTGAGGTCATCACAGATTTTTCATGCGGCTCTTTTCCATACAATGGAAATGAAAAGGAATGAACTCTCTTGAGCTAAAAAAAAAAAAGGATGAGTAAATGATGACAGAATTGTAATCTTTTGCCTGCACTTTTTCCTCTAGTGTACACAGACAGTAAAGCTCAGGTAAATTAGAGGCTTTGGTTGATCTGGTGTGGGTCAGGGGTGTGTGCTGCGCCTCAGGACAGTGAGTCACCTGGTTTTAAAGTGCTGACACGCTGGATTGGCTTTTCATGCAGGTCTGGAATTCTCTTTGGGCTGAATTCTGCGGACACAGCAATAAAAAAAGCACAATAAGAGCAGTGAAATAGGAACATCTGCATGAGAATATTAATGAGTTTACATGGCATTTGCCCTCTTAAGTGTGGAAGAGTGGTCCCAAAAATATTTGCACACTGAAGACACTGAAGAAATGGCATTGCATTAGATAATTAAATATATCAAAGCAAGTGGCATTCACTTTAAAAAAAAAACTTAATTTAACTTTTTCCCAGCCAAACACAGAATTTTCTGTGTTTTACTGTTATACGCTAGGGGGCGCTCTTACACATCTTTTGAAAGAGTACTGAATCTCCTGATAAAAACACATTCGAAGAAGATGCAGAAACAAGCGATCTCATATGTAATCATATGCATATGTAATATAACGCGATCACCAACATTATAAATCAAATTAAAGCATATAAATCAAAACTGCCTAATGTTACTGAATGATATGTCGACCCAGGATGAGTTACAAGACTGTGCAAGCATTAGTGGTGTTGATGGACTCGATCTACTCCATCTGTGTTTAGATCATCCTTCTGAAAGTAGTCTATGAAAAAAACCACACGATTTTCTCAGATTTTTGCTCAAAATGTTGCCTTTTTTTATGAAACTTACCCATATTCAAGTGTTGATAAAAAAGAATGCATGAAACGAGAATAAAACAGATTTTCTTTTTGTTTAAAAGCAGAGGTTCTGTTCCTTCTTTTGATGTATTGCATGTTCAGATATTCATTCAACAAAATAATATGAAGTTTTTGTGAAAATGATCAAAAACGCTGGTGGTGGCGGGCAACTTTTTTTTTTTAAATGCTGGCGAGGAAAGAGTTAAGTTTGACACTTAAATGTACACTATGCAACTTCTTTGTTCAAAATTAACAAAATTGAAATGAGTCAATAAATCATCAATTTTGGGGTTTTGTCTTACCCTGATTCACTACGGTAAACGTATTATAAGTGTTTATATTTTAGACCTGTCGGGATGGTTTTCGATTGTAGATTGTGTACATGCGCCACTCGCCTGTGTGTGTGTCTCGTCAGATGAGGGATTTAAAATGTTGTAAAAGCGACGCGGAGATGATGGTGTTTTTATTACTCAACATGCGAGTAAGGTGTTTTAGCGACCAGATAAATTGCCATATGTGGCTCTCTAACTAAAGTGAATTGTAAAGCATTATCTATTTTGAGGCGTCATTATGGTTGTTGTAGCGCTGTGCTGGAATTTATTTTCAAGAAAGTACCGCGTCTATTAATGAGTGAGCTTGAGATCCTTTCCATCTAAACTGGTTATCTCTCTTAAGCCTAGTAGTGAATGTTTTATAAGCAGTGGGATAAACATATCCATCCACACAGTGGCTTAAATGTCCAAATACTTTTTGGGCCACCGTTTAAAACACATTTCTTTTTTTTCCCCTTTAATCCTGTTCATGATTATTGAGGTCTGTCTCTGAAGTCATTACCCGGTTTCCTGCTTTCATCTCTCGTGTCCTGTTTAGCGGTCACACCTGGTCTAGAGGTCACCTGAAGGCCAGCAGAACACATTTCCTGTTTGGGAAAATGAAATGCCAGCACAAAATGACTGATATGAGCACATGTAGAGGTTTACTCGTTTATAAGGGGCGGACAAGTTGGATTTTTGTCTTTTCGAGATCTCATATAAGACTCATTAGCACCCTCTGCCTTCAGCCAAACACACATGCCTAGAGAGAGAGAGAGAGAGTTATAGAACTACTTATATCTTCTTTTATTATTCTTCTTCTTAAATTAACGTATACTTGTTCTATATGGAAGCTATAAATGCAACTAACTAACTAAATATTCTCATCACAATAAACCAGCGATGATATTGTTAGCTAAAATTAAAACTATAAACACTGTTTTCATTTATTGAAATACAGTAGAAATAAAATACGTACAAAAAAACAAGAAATGTTAAATCGGCAACTAACGGTTTTAAAATATTTAGAAGTTAAAGTACTAAAATTATTAAAAGTAAAATAGAAATAAATGAACACTAAATAGAAATTTTGAAGAAAAAAACAAAAACTTAAATAAATAATAAAAAAGTAGCTAATTAAAAATATTAATAAATACTATCATAGTATATAATAAAATGTTTTTTTTAGCAATAAACTAAAAAAAAAGCGTATTTATTTATCCAACCATCAATGGCATCTCTCTTGTGACTGTTCTTGTAATTTATTTTGATGCGTTGGCGATATTGTGTGTCGATCATCATGACAATTTTGATATTAAAAACCACAAAAGAGAGACAGAAGGAAAAAGACAGAGGAAAGGACAGAACGAAATGTGCAGAACATGGTGATCTTGGCATACATGTTAAATGAAGTTCTTCTTACCGGTGGATTGGCTCCAGGCCTCATATTGTCATCAAAGACAATGAGAGGTTGAGTCGCCTGTAAAAGAACCACATTTAGAGCTCAGTTCAAACTTGTCAATCTGAAACTTGCTCACATCTCATGGTTGCATCATACAACATAATACTGGATGAGAAACCCTAAACAGTTGAAACTAAACACTTCAGGTGCAAACACTGTAGGCGTGTTGCGAGTTTTAGATTGCGTACCTCAGATGGTGGCGCTGTAACCACACCTGGTTCCACAAATCCCGGTCTCAGCGTGGCGGGGAGAGTTTCAGGAAGGAGGAAACCATTTTTCCGGGCCACAATCAGATGGAAGGCGGTGCAGAACTCTGGGAAAGTGAGAGCGCCGTCCTTGTCAACATCGCTCAGCTCCCTGAAGGACATTGAACAAAAATGATTGGTTTTTCCACATGTGTAAAGAGACCGTTCATGACATGTTTCAGTAGAACTGAGGTTTGGTCGTCACCATATATGCGACAGCTCTGGAATCGGAAGCTTCGACTTGGTGAAGAAGTGTTTTGCAACAGTTCCTGAAAGGAAAATCAATGCAAAGTTCAAACTGTCCAGGTAAGATCATGAATGTAACAGTATGAGGAGTGTTTGTGGAGCTCTCTTACCCACGATGAGAGCGCTGAGGTCAGGCTGGAGACTCCTGAACTGGATGGTGTAATATTCCCGCTGCTCCTCGGTGATCCTCCAGGGGTCGTCGGAGTAATCCACCTCTGCTCTCTCCACCAGACGCTCCACAGAGCCAACCTGAACCACACGAAAACATCAAGATGTCAAGTGGATGAAAGATTTTACAATTACATAGTACATATGCCTTTCATTACTTCTGAATGTTTTATGTGATATAAAAATGAATAAAAATGCAAATACTTTTTAAAAGTCATTTGCAATCCTTGTATGGCAGAATGTAATTAATTACAATAAAAGCTCAACGGTTTTTTAATATCACACCTTCAATGGTACTAATATTAATGATAATATCTTTCTATTATTTCTTAGAGATGAAGTGTTTAGTTTTTTTAACATATCTTACTATTACAAACTTAATGCATAAATAAGATATTTATAGTTTGATATCACCTGAAATAAATAAATATAAATATTAAAACAATTAATTCATCTTAATTTTTGTCACAGACAGACAGACAGACAGACAGACAGACAGACAGACAGACAGACAGACAGACAGACAGATAGATAGATAGATAGATAGATAGATAGATAGATAGATAGATAGATAGATAGATAGAATGATGGATTGATGGATAGATGGGTAGATAGATAGACAGACAGACAGACAGACAGACAGACAGACAGACAGACAGACAGACAGACAGACAGACAGACAGACAGATAGATAGATAGATAGATAGATAGATAGATAGATAGATAGATAGATAGATAGATAGATAGATAGATAGATAGATAGATAGATAGATAGATAGACAGACAGACAGACAGACAGACAGACAGACAGACAGACAGACAGACAGACAGACAGACAGACAGACAGACAGACAGACAGACAGACAGACAGACAGACAGACAGACAGACAGACAGACAGACAGACAGACAGACAGACAGACAGATAGATAGATAGATAGATAGATAGATAGATAGACAGACAGACAGACAGACAGACAGACAGACAGACAGACAGACAGACAGACAGACAGACAGACAGACAGACAGATAGATAGATAGATAGAATGATGGATTGATGGATAGATGGGTAGATAGACAGACAGACAGACAGACAGACAGACAGACAGATAGATAGATAGATAGATAGATAGATAGATAGATAGATAGATAGATAGATAGATAGATAGATAGATAGATAGATAGATAGATAGATAGATAGATAGATAGATAGATAGATAGAATGATGGATTGATGGATAGATGGGTAGATAAATTTAGATAAATTAGTTGGTTACTTAAAGTAAAAATGCATTTTAAATCCATGTTTAATGACAGAAAAGAAAAAGGCCCACTGCACACTACTGTAGCGTGAAAACATTTATTAAAATGATGTGTTAACATATTAATGTGTCAGTCAATTGATATTCATCAAGCATCATGGAATTATGAAATGCTTAAAAAAGACCACATGATTAAAATGTTACAATAAATACTAATTGATTTTCCAAGCGAAAGTAGCGTGTGGGATTTTTTCCATTTTCCCCTTCATATTTTTTGGACATCTTACACTTATGCATGTAATTATTCGGGATGTGATGATTATTTATCTATTGTTTGTAAGCATGTCTATCCAAATACGGGACCTGTTGGGTAATGCATGTGCTCTGGCGTGCTATTACTGATATTCAAGCAAAAAATATAATTTTAAATGTCATGATGTCTGTCCTTATATAACACTGACACCCAGAGTTCTGCTCGATTGTCCAATCGGATGCAAGAACGAGGAGTTGTGAGGAAATGCTCACGCGTGTAATGACAGGCTGCTCCGGCTGAGGCTTGAGAGAATAATGACTGGGAGAGGAGTTTTCCTGAGGAACACTGGGACGAGACGGCACTTTCCCGTCATACGCTGTGAACGAAAACCAAAAGATGAAAGAGTGAATGTTTCAAGGTCAAGACAGACAAAAGTTGATAGCTTTTCCATTACTGTGATCAATGCTTTTGGCATGTAAACATTTGACAGCACTGTAAATGATGACTGAGAGAAATGGCATTAAACACTATCAGCAGATGCTAGCGAGATAAAGACGCCCGTTTCAGACTCGACTGACACCGAACAAGAGTGAACATTTTAAAGAAGACTTAATGGAATAATAAATGGGGGAAAATGAAAGAAAAAAAGTGATTAATTACTGAACGAGCATGAATTATTCGGAAGGAGGTCATTGATTACCATGATCTTTGATATGACTGTAATCTGAAAGAATAAAAGAGGCCTGACTGCACTTTGATCTGGTGAATGTTCTTTACATCTGAAGCCCTTCCAGAACCTCGTGTCTTTTATGTGTAGATTTTAAATAAAGTATTAATGGCCTCTGCTGACTAATGAAGAAAGCTGATCCACATTCAATAACGCTGACGTTTCTCTGTTCATGGCCGGAGTTAACACTGAGATAAAAAACACTTTCCTGTCGCAGCGGTATCCATTCACTGCGTTTATCCCTCACTGAGAGCATCTACACTTAATATTCACAATTATTTGCTTTTGTGGAGATTATTGAATATCTGTTTATTTGAACACAAAAATACTGCATGCTTAATAAACACAATCAGATGATAAACAATGATATAATAATAGAATGATAGACGGACGGACGGACGGATGGATGGATAGATAGATAGACAGACAGATAGATAGACAGACAGATAGACATATAGACAGACAGACAGACAGATAGACATATAGACAGATAGACAGACAGATAGATAGATAGACAGATAGATAGATAGACAGACAGACAGACAGATAGACAGACAGATTGATAGATATACAGACAGACAGATATATAAACAGACAGACAGACAGATAGATATATAAACAGACAGACAGACAGAGAGATAGATAGATAGATAGATAGATAGATAGATAGATAGATAGATAGATAGATAGATAGATAGATAGATAGATAGATAGATAGATAGATAGATAGATAGATAGATAGATAGATAGATAGATAGATAGATAGATAGATAGATAGATAGATAGATAGACAGACAGACAGACAGACAGACAGACAGACAGACAGACAGATAGACAGACAGACAGACAGACAGACAGACAGACAGACAGACAGACAGACAGACAGATGCACTACCTTCTACTGTGCTGGAGGGGGCGCTATTGTATGTGTAATTATGGCAATCTGTCCTTATTTTGTATATAAATTAATAATCTATTGCATAATTTGCCATTTTGGCTCAAATTATAATCGATTATAACAGACCATCTCATAATTTTTGGTAACATGCAAAAATGTGGGGGGGGGGTTTTCGCTTTCCAACAAATGGATAAGAAAGTTACAGTGCAAAGGTGCTTCACTATTTTTTATTTTTTTATTTAGAGTGCAAATGTCCAAGAGGGACAACTATCACTAAATGAAACACACTAAGCGCATGTTATTAAATGAAGCATACCACTGTGGTTATATGCAGGCTCAATGCATTTTCTCAGGAAAGAGCATGAGAGTGTCTGCTTCATCAGAATGGCGAGTGTGTTGTGCTGACTGTTGGCGGGCTGAAGGACTTGTGACTCAACAGGTGTGTGATTAAACGAGTGAGATATCAATACGCCACAGGAGAGCAACAATTAGACAACTGCTTTCTGAGGGCTCAAGGCTGAACGCTCACAAACACACACACAGCTGTCTGACAACCACGGTCACAGTGTGTGAAACACGCCGGATGTGTGATATGTGCTTGTGTTATCTAATAACAGCATCACGGTATGTGTGAGTGTGGAAAAATCTGCTCTCACTTTTCCATTGGGATTGTTGGGAAAAAGAACATCATCAGGATCTTTGCTGGGAAAATTCCTTGATACAGCATTTAAGATGAGCATTCGTCCTGAGTATTTACTGATGCAAAATGATCATCTAGAAGTCAAAATTGTATAATAATTAATTTTTTTTTAAAAACTCTCTACAGGTAAAAATAAATAAATATTAATAATAATAATAATAATTATGGTGATAAAAAAGCTACATATTCTGGTTGCATTAAGGCTGCATTTATTTGATCAAATATTTATAAAAACAGTAATATTGTGAAAAATGATTACAATTTAAAATAAAAGTTTTCTATTTGAATATTTCTCTAGTCTTCAGTGTCACATGATCCTTCAGAAATCATTCTAATATGATGATTTGCTGCTCAAGAAACATTTATTATTATTATCATCAATGTTGAAAACAGTTGTGCAGCTTCTTATTTTGTGGACACCGTGATACATTTTTAAATGATTCTTTGATGAATAGAAATTATATTTATATATATACATATACACTCACCGGCCACTTTATTACGTACACCTGTCCAACTGCTCGTTAACACTTAATTTCTAAGCAGCCAATCACATGGCGGCAACTCAGTGCATTTAGGCATGTAGACATGGTCAAGACAATCTCCTGCAGTTCAAACCGAGCATCAGTATGGGGAAGAAAGTTGATTTGAGTGACTTTGAACGTGGCATGATTGTTGGTGCCAGAAGGGCTGGTCTGAGTATTTCAGAAACTGCTAATCTACTGGGATTTTCACGCACAACCATCTCTAGGGTTTACAGAGAATGGTCCGAAAAAGAAAAAAACATCCAGTGAGCGGCAGTTCTGTGGGCGGAAATGCCTTGTTGATGCCAGAGGTCAGAGGAGAATGGCCAGACTGGTTCGAGCTGATAGAAGGGCAACAGTGACTGAAATAACCACTCGTTACAACCGAGGTATGCAGCAAAGCATTTGTGAAGCCACAACATGCACAACCTTGAGGCGGATGGGCTACAACAGCAGAAGACTCCACCGGGTACCACTCATCTCCACTACAAATAGGAAAAAGAGGCTACAATTTGCAAGAGCTCACCAAAATTGAACAGTTGAAGACTGGAAAAATGTTGCCTGGTCTGATGAGTCTCGATTTCTGTTAAAACATTCAGATGTTAGAGTCAGAATTTGGCGTAAACAGAATGAGAACATGGAACCATCATGCCTTGTTACCACTGTGCAGGCTGGTGGTGGTGGTGTAATGGTGTGGGGGATGTTTTCCTGGCACACTTTAGGCCCCTTAGTGCCAATTGGGCATCGTTTAAATGCCACGGCCTACCTGAGCATTGTTTCTGACCATGTCCATCCCTTTATGGCCACCATGTACCCATCCTCTGATGGCTACTTCCACCATGTCACAAAGCTCTAATCATTTCAAATTGGTTTCTTGAACATGACAATGAGTTCACTGTACTAAAATGGCCTCCACAGTCACCAGATCTCAACCCAATAGAGCATCTTTGGGATGTGGTGGAACGGGAGATTCGCATCATGGATGTGCAGCCGACAAATCTGCGGCAACTGTGTGATGCCATCATGTCAATATGGACCAAACTCCCTGAGGAATGCTTCCAGCACCTTGTTGAATCTATGCCACGAAGAATTGAGGCAGTTCTGAAGGCAAAAGGGGGTCTAACCCGTTACTAGCATGGGGTACCTAATAAAGTGGCCGGTGAGTGTATATATATTTTACTGTTGCTTTTGATCAATTTAATGCATCCTTGCTAAAAAAAGTATTAATGTCTTAATACTGCAGCCAAAGAGAATGATAATAAAAAAAAATACTGTCGCCAAAATCTTGAACGGTGAACATTTTTAAATAAAAAGCATCAATTTCCAGTCATGCCTAGGTTCATGGGCCGGTCCGGATGCGGAATGACTGACAGTGACTCTCACCCAATAGCGTGTCTGTTCCGTTTCTCTGTGCAGCATATGGATAGTTGCGATAGGCTGACGGTGAGCGGGGCGGGGAGATGGCGGGTGACCGCGGTGGAGACCACGCCTCCTGTCAGATACAAATACACAATAATTGTAAGGTGAACAATCTGTTTTTTTAATACAGTCTTGTAAACTTGGTTTACTTGCATTGCCAGGTTATTGATTTGCATGTAAACCAGTAAATCAGGTTATTTCAACAGACACATTTTGGTAGTTATCAGTGTATTTGTGTGCATGTAAATGTGCTTAAAGGATTAGTTCACTTTTAAAAAAACTTTTGCTGATAATTTACTCACCCCCATGTCATCCAAGATGAATGAACAAATCTTTTTTCGAGTCATTTGGTTCATTTAACGAACGAAATGAACGAATTGACTCTGAAAAAGATTCGTTCATTTTGATGAACGAGTTCGAACAGGAGAGTCACACAGAACAGAGCAAGGCGAGCATTTGAGCTTATAAAACTTAAACTTTGTTATTTCTTTTTTAAATGAGCGATCGTTTCGCTTGATAAGACCCTTATTCATCGTCTGGTGTCGTTTAAAACCATTTGAACTAGAGCCCTGCACGGGCCTCAAATCTAGGCCCTAGCCCGGCCCTGGCCCGAGACGCTCAGGCCCTAGCCCGGCCCGTGTCCGACAGCTCATTAGAATGATCAGCCCGAGTCCGACCCGAGCCCGTATAAAAAAAAAAAAAAAAAAAAAAAAAAAAAAAAAAAATTCACAGCCTGCCCTATGCTGCAGTCAGTAAAACAGATATTTTTTTCTTCTCAATGGCAAAGTATTTACCAGTAAGTTTATTTTCATTTCTTTATAAAGTTAATTTAGAAAAATGTTTTTTTTTTTTTATGACGACCAAGCAGCCGACAGTGAGTTAAACATGTTTGATCCATTTATAGCCTCTCAAATCAACACTTTACTTGGCTACAATACAATCCATATATATAAAACAACTTAAGCATATCACACAGACAGTTAACGTTTGTTTAAACGTTTATTGTCATTTTTGAAAAGCTGAGGCAAACTGCTCTGCTGCTCAGTCGCAACAGCGCTCGCAAACTAAATGAGTTTACAATACAATACAGAGAATGCAATCTAAACAAATCAAATAAATTACATTAAAAACAAACATGCAGGTTATCTTACCTCAAAAATCAAGTCTTCACTACAGAACATGGCCATTCTTATTTCCAATAGTTTTCAACAGACTCATGAAAATAAAGTCCAATCAAACAAAAAACAACCTCCTAACATGGCTAAGAACAGTCTCAGAGCATCGTGAAGAAAAAGCACAGCATCCACAGTGGAAGGTTTTAATCCAGTCGTACTTTTTCCAGCTGCGCTGAAGTCACGCTCGCCACCGGGACACTAAACACAGAACGAGCCGGTCGCACGAATCTCAGATCGCGCCGCCGGGAAACCTGTGCGTGTGCGTGAGCAGACTGTCATGTGTCAGTCATGTCAGTGTGATAGGTTATAAAACGTCTTTCTATGTTTGCTTTTCAATCGTCATCTTCTCATATTTTATTTTAATTAATGTCTAAAATAGGCTATAAAAAAAGATAAGCCTTAGGCCCGAGGCCCGGCCCGCGTGTGAACTATGACGTGAAAATTGGCCCGAAGCCCGGCCCTAGAAGCGTAAATAAGTCGGGGCCCGTCGGGCTCGGGCTGAAATGCAGGCCTCTAATTTGAACAGTTTGCAGTTTGCACTGAAACGGTCTTTTGGACCTTGAACCGTTTGGTGCCCAGCAGAGTGCATTATATGGAGAAAAATCCTGGAATGTTTTCATCAAAAACCTTAATTTCTTTCCGACTGAAGAAAGAAAGACATGGACATCTTGGATGACATGGGGGTGAGTAAATTATCAGCAAAAGTTGTTTTTAAAAGTGAACTAATCCTTTAAAGTTCATTAGTTATGAAGTGAACTCAAATCAAACTATAAAGCAGCTCTTCTGAAGACAATAGTGTCATTATTCAGCTCATTTCAGTTCAGTTCAATAATAATTACCACGTAAAGTTCATCAAATTATGAGACGAGTTTGTCATTATTCAGTTTAATGTTGATTCAATTCGGTTCAATAACAGTGTCAAAGATTCAAAATTCATCAATTATGAAACAAATTCGATTCGGCAATCAATCAGCTCTACAGGAGACAATCACATCATCATCAAGTTTTGTTCTCAAATGATAGTGTAAACATGATAGTTTATGATAAAATGATAGTTTAAACCTCAAAAGTACTCTGATGTCTGACCTGTTTGTCCATGCTGGTGTCAGGGTGTCTCAGTACAGGTCTGTCTGCAGGGGGACGAGGGGCGGAGCCTGGAACTGAGCCCAGGATGTGCGGCTGGCTCTCATTGGTTGAGGGGTGATTGGCGTAACGCATCTCAAGCTCATTCGTTATCCCAACAAACACAGGAAGAGGAAGTTCTGCGGGGAAAGATAAAAGACAGCATACTGATGCTATTTTCACAGAGGATTAAATAGAATGCAGCTGTTTAATGCTGCTCAAAGGTGGCATACATGTATGTACACAACAACTGCAGAATGTAAAAAAATATACATTATACAATTAAAAAAAGCATTATCAAGGCTGTAATATTATGACAAAAGTCATAATTGTTGATTATTGCCCTTTGACAAAATCATACCGGATCATTCAAATCTGTGTGCACTGCAGCTGAGCCAGAGAGAGAGAGCAGTTTTTACAACTACACAGTATCATTATTTCTGTCTTACAATAATTCAAATGATCACAGGAGTACTGGGATAAAGGTTTATAGTTCGGATAAACACTGATGTCTACGGTCGCGATGGAAATTGAACAGATCGTGTAGGTGGCGACAAGAGACTTAACATTTTTTATTTGTCATTGGATCATTCATTCAAGAGATTTGTTCAAAAACGCTGATTCGTCTAGTAATGAAACAAGTGAAGTATTTATGAGTGAGTCATTGGATCATTCATTCAAAAGATTTGTTCAAACACTGATTCGTCTAGTAATGAAACAAGTGAAGTATTTATGAGTGAGTCATTGGTTCATTCATTCAAAAGATTTGTTCAAACACTGATTCGTCTAGTAATGAAACAAGTGAAGTATTTATGAGTCAGTCATTGGATCATTCATTTAAAAGATTTGTTCAAACACTGATTCGTCTAGTAATGAAACAAGTGAAGTATTTATGAGTGAGTCATTGGATCATTCATTCAAAAGATTTGTTCAAACACTGATTCGTCTAGTAATGAAACAAGTGAAGTATTTATGAGTGAGTCATTGGTTCATTCATTCAAAAGATTTGTTCAAACACTGATTCGTCTAGTAATGAAACAAGTGAAGTATTTATGAGTCAGTCATTGGATCATTCATTTAAAAGATTTGTTCAAACGCTGATTCGTCTAGTAATGAAACAAGTGAAGTATTTATGAGTCAGTCATTGGATCATTCATTTAAAAGATTTGTTCAAACACTGATTCGTCTAGTAATGAAACAAGTGAAGTATTTATGAGAGTCATTGGATCATTCATTCAAAAGATTTGTTCAAAAACGCTGATTCGTCTAGTAATGAAACAAGTGAAGTATTTATGAGTGAGTCATTGGATCATTCATTCAAAAGATTTGTTCAAAAACGCTGATTCGTCTAGTAATGAAACAAGGGAAGTATTTATATGCGAGTTATTGAATCATTCGTTGAAACCAAGAGATTCTTTAAAAAACGCTGATTCATCCAGTAATGAAACAAGTGAACTATTTATGAGTGAGTCATTGAATCATTTATTCAAGAGATTTGTTTAAAAACGTTGATTCATCCAGTAATGAAACAAGTGAAGTATTTAGAGTACGAGTGAGTACTTGAATCATTCGTTGAAACCAATTTTTTTTTATTCATTCTAATTAATTAAACATTTTTAAATAGACTGCAGCAATTAATTTTTTTTTTCAGAATCGTGCAGCTCTACTTGCATTGTATCTGCACTTTATTGTTTATGATGAGAGAATTTGCAAGAGTGTAAAATTCAGTCGGTGAGCCGACAAAAATCCGGTTCTTTCAGCGAAAACTAAACGCTTCTGATTGGCCATTGCATTAATAAGCTCAACAAAAACATTTCTGATTGGGTATAATGCTCAACACAGTAAAAATCAAAATCAAAAACACGTAAAAAGAAATCCGATGCGATATAAGCAGATCTAAATGTAATGCCACAAAATTGACACTTTTCATTCATTTTCACATTTCACTTTAATCGCGCGCCTGTAGTAGATTTAGTTTAATTGTGCGGGGGCATTTTTTTGTCCTCTTATCTTGAATTTGTGGGGCATTTCTGTTCATTTTGGTGCCCTGCTCCTCATAATATTTCTGTGCACAGTGGATTAAAGCAGCTAAATAACTTTCAAGCTTTATTTTTGACTTCTAACTGGATTACACTGGCTCAACGAAACACAAAGCATGTTGAGGCCATGTGACTTATGTTCCTTTTCAAACAAGGCCTTCGTGAACCTCAAGAACATGACCATGCAGCTGTGTTAAATGTTACATGTGAGCTAGAACGACAAACCTCTGATCTAAGATCTGATCTTCTTTAAAAAGTAAACATAACCTAGCCAGTCATCTCTCAAAAGGTCCCTCTGAGGTCATCTCGATAAATCTGTCTTTCCTATCCACAAACTGGGTCTTTATCCTTCCCTTTCCAGATGATTTGTGGAGTAAACAGAAGGTGCATGACCTTCACTGATCAGAGGCGCTGAACCTGCTGTGTGAGGTCTCGTGTGGGGTCTCGCGGGCCCTGGGGTCCTTCAGTAACAGTCTGTACCAGGATTAAACACTAATCCAGGCTCCGTTCGCCACATTTCAGCCCGGCAGGGTGGCCTGGAGCTGCGCTGAGCTCGGAGTCAGCCTAGTGCTCAATATTACTTTAGTAAAGTAAATACATTTAGGAAATGACTGTTTTGTCTGTGCTGTGTTTACATTCAAGTTACTTTATGAGCTCGAGCCCAAAAGTTACATGGCAGCATTTTGAATAATATTATTGAAACTAGAAACTTGTGGTGCTTTCCCAAGCAAAACTGTAGATTATTAAACAATAAATTTAAAAAAAATATATATTATTATTAACTATACATTATTAACCATAAAAATAATTAAATAAATAATATAAATAATAATATTTATAAATATATTAAAATAATAATGTATAATAATTTTGTATTTTATAGGATTTATAATTAATTACTGTTATGCATATGCAACAAATCATTTTAAAAATAGTAAAAAAATAAATAAACAAATATAGAAATTATAAACCATTACAAAAATTCAAACAATTTTATAAAAAAGAAGCAATACAAATTATATAAATTAATAATAATAAAATAATGCATATTATGTCTTTTAGAATAATAACTAATAATTTGGTTATACAAATGCAACAATCATTTTTATAAATAACAATATTTTATACGATATTTTACCATAACAATAATTAATAGAATAATTGAATAAAGATTAACAATAAAAATAATATTTTTTATCCTCTCAGAATCTTGTGTTTAAGCTTTTAAATGGTACTTTGGTTGTCAGGATCAATTCATAATTCAAGTCAAGTGAACTTATGTTTACTGTAAACACAGATTAAAGAGTCTAGACAATAAGAGGAGGTAGTCTCGAGCGTTTAAGGAAACCGTCCTGTGGTTCAGTGTACACACACGGCTTGTTCTCAGTGAGTTTGGCTCAGCGTGTGGCGCTCTCTCTGCGCAGCACGACCTCTGTGTGTTATCCCTCTTTAGAGTAAATCCAAGCATGCGATGGCCAAATCCCTGATGGCGTTTGCTTCTCCCTCCGTTCACGGCGGACGACTCGACTTACCCCCTGCGATGCTCTCCAGACGTACTGGCAAACCAGCCTGTGCCGCGGCCATCAGCTTCAGAGCCACGTACAACTGCCCACAGCCAAAGAACCCGAGCCGCTTAGCACCACACACCTCTGTTACCTGCAGAGAGAGAGAGAGAGAGAGAGAGAGAGAGAGAGAGAGAGAGAGAGAGAGAGAGAGAGAGAGAGAGAGAGAGAGAGAGAGAGAGAGAGAGAGAGAGAGAGAGAGAGAGAGAGAGAGAGATTAATAAAGGGCCATATGGAGACTTTAAAACCACATTACCGTATACAAAACATTTAGTTCAGTGAATTAAGCTTTAATATTTAAAAAGAGTTCATTATGTGAAGTGGAATTCATGGCTTCTATCTTAATGGGTTAAATTGCTAACATGGGAAAATGAAAAGATAATAGCTAAATCCTCATTATTGGCTCTCCAGTGGAAAGAATAGCCGGCTGAAGATAAACTGCACTTTGAACAGGCTGAACTTCACTATTATCTGTGCTTCTGTAATTGAAAACTCGCTTTAATGACAGCCACAAGCGGAGCGATAAGAAATAGGAAGTGTGTACCAATACAGACCTTAACAGATTAATAATAACATAATTCACTTTGGACAGACATAGATGTTAAAATCATCTATCCCTGCTGAAAACACACGCTTAAACATGGTTTGCTGGTCTTAGCCGGTTTAAGATGGTCTTCTGGCTTGGCCTGCTGAAAAATGGCCAAAACCACTTTAAAGGACTTAACAGAGCAGCTAAAACAGGCTCAGACCAGTTAAGACTAGTTAACTACTAGGCTGGTTTCTGATGTCTTTTCGAGATTGAAGACATCATTGAGGAGATAAACTTAAACACTGCAAAACAACATGAAATGCCATTTACAACCTATTTTTATTTCCATAATCCAAGCTACATTACAGTTTTTTTGTTGTTGAAGAAATTCAAGAATACATTAAATTGATCAAAAGTGACAGTAAAGACATTCATAATGTTAAAAAAACTTACATTTAAAATAAATGCTGCTCTTTTGAACTTTCTATTCATCAAACAATCCTGAAAAAATTTGTTTTCACAAAACATATAAAGTAGCACAACTGTTTTCAACATTGATAATGGCCAGAAATGTTTCTTGAGCATCAAATCATCATATTAGAATGATTTCTGAAGGATCATGTGACACTGAAGACTGGAGTAGTGATGCTGAAATTTCAGCTTTGATCACAGGAATACATTGCGTTTTAAAATATATCATAATAGAAAACTGTTATTTTAAATTGTAAATATATTTCACAATATAACTGTTTTTACTGTATTTTGTATCAATCAAATGCATCCTTGGGGAGCAGAAGAGACTTCTTTCAAAAAAACCTTTGCACTGCAGTGTATAACACAATATTAAAATGGAAAAGGGAGGGCGGGACTTGAGTTTATGCATTCAGAATCCTGATTGGATGGTGAAAAGTGGGTGTTTCATACTGGTTGTGGATGGGAGGGGTTGCAAATAAAAGGACTTGATGATGCCAGCAGAAAAGGAACAAGTTAGTCCATTACAAAGACAAACAAGTAAACATGACGTACCATTAACTCACGATAACACCACAATCGTGCATTAAGAAAGTAAATAGGCTCCATTTCAATTCCTGTGATTTTGAATACCTATATACAAACACTCAAACCAAGTCTAAATCATCGCTGAATCACTATCCTTCAGTACAATGAGACATAAACTAGTGTTTCCTCTGGAGAAAAGAGCACACAGTAGCATTAGAGTCATTGTTTTATCACTCCACGCTGCTGAAATCCATCCTTCCGTAACGAAATAATCAATAGAGTTGAGCTCTGGGATTCATTGTAAACGTCTTCACACACACAGGAAAAGATCTGTGCGCTTTAAATAGCAGCACATTGTGTTGAGTGTGCTGTTAAATATAACAAAAGCATTTGTGCTGCTCAAGCCAAACTTCTCTTCAAATAATATTTTCTCTTCAGATTGTAGAAATAGCACAACTGAACACACATACCTCCTGATAATAAAAAAACATTTGTCAATGCAAGTAAGGTCGTCCTTGTTCTCTAAACTACAATCTCACCTACGGCGTTCCTCCACCTTTCCAAACATTATGAGGAACTCCTCAAACATTGACTCGGCGTCCCTGTTCGACCAGGTGTGATGAGGATTATTGATCGTGTCCTCCTTCCATCCCTGCAGTGCTGATGGCTCATGACTCACAGCTGAGAACTTCAGCCAAATACGACTGAAACAACAAGATGTTTTCTGCAATACTCTTATCTAATCAATCGCAGGAGTCCCGTGACTAGATGGACATTTGTCTCCAAAACACATTTCTACTCATTCCTAAAGAAAGCCGGGACCCTGGCCAAATTATCAAATAATATCTGAAACATCTGAATTTGAATTTACATCTACATTCAGCCGTTCGTATTTGTACTCTGTTGTCGCTGTTGCATCTTTAATAACTTTTGAGGCGTATTTTGCTGTATTTTTATAAGCCGCTGGATTGGTTTAGGGCCGTAAAGACCGGAAACTCACAGTGTGGATAAATCACGCTTGTGTCAAAGACTCTATTGAAGAGAACTAATGATACACAGAAACTCTTTCAAAGCAAAAACAAACACACGTGACCTATCAGCGTCAGTTGTGTCGCTTCACTGCCATTCATAATCCTCTCCTGTGGCCTAGTAAAGTGTCCATCGAATGCGCACTTCAGAATCTCAGTGGAAGTAGTAGGTCACCGGGGACTTTTCGCCTAATGTTTATCAAATACTATGGGCCAGATTTACTAAACAGGGATAATTAGCGTGAGAGCGAAATCCCATCGCGCGAACTACTGACGATGCGCAAATTTAAGAACACAGACGTGCTTTTATTGGCTGTTAAATAATGGTGCAAATACCCGTAAATTGACTAGTAACCTTAGTAAATCACCTTACATGATTCATTTAAATATTCTCCTCCCATACATTTTGTGTCTGAAAGGAAAACTACTTTAAATGCATATACAATAGTCAGCTGCAAAAATAACAATGTCCACGCCTTTTCAGCGCTCATTTTTCACTGTGTGCCTTTAGTAAATCCTGACAGTAGTTTTTTAACGTTGAAAGAGGGTTTGCACTGGAGCAAGCTGTTAGTAATTGGTCCTAAGGACCTGTGTCCATCAAAGCGTTTTTTTTCACGCAGCTGGCGTATTTTTCCAATTGTTTTCAATGGGAGCAACGGCCAGCGTTTTTTACCGGTCGCCGAGAGTTGAAGAATGTTCAACTTTGGGTAAAACGCAGCGCTCATCAGTCACTTTTTACCCAACCGTCCAATCACAGTGGAGGAGAGGCGGGACTAATACCACACCGACCAACCGCCACATTCTGCTCGCACAACGTCAACAGATAACAAGCATAATAACAAAAAAAAATAATTTAAAACAAGAGCCAGAGAAAATACGTTGCATTGTATCGACATTTTAATATAGAATCAACACAAAAACAAAATATGTGTGAAATGACGTACTGGTTTTCGCATACTACCCTATATAGTAGGGAAGTATTCGATTTCGGACTCAGCGCAAGTCTTCTCATAGGATAAGGACACTCAGTCTCATGAATACTTATGAGACACAGAGGAGTCATCGATGTACTGTAGTGCAAGAAAACACATCCTGTGACATTGACACGAAGACAAATTTGAACCCGGAAGATGAAAATAGTGCAAAAAAGCTTAAAATTCACTTTCCTCCTACAGTCAAAACTAACAGATGGTAACACACACACATAACAATCATTAAATCTTATCCTATTATATATTGTTTGTGTACTAGATGCAAGGAATTATGGGAAATGCTTACATGTCTGCATTCATACTGAAGTTACTGAACTAGGGGATTAAATGGATTAGTTTTTTAAGAAAATACACTGAATTATTTTAGGGCATATTCTGGTGGAGAAAGTGGGCAGGCTGGACTCGAACCTCTGATATATGGATCAGGTCCCTCCTTCAATCTAGGTTTAAGTTTTATCATCCACCCAAGTTAAACTCCTGAATTTTATTCAATAATCTGCATGAGTTAGCATGTCTGTAGAACAAACGGTTTAATACTTTGGGCTCATGAAAAGCAGCTCTGAGCTTCTAGCCGCTAAAGTCAGCTGTTACTGTGACTGATGGAAATTACAATGGCTTTTGACGAGAGCCTCACGCGCTCTGAGCGTGACCCAACTCCTCGTCTTGAAATCAAGAGACAGTGTGTGTCTGTGTGTGTGTGTGTGGCTTAAACTCAGTTTAATCATCTGACCGTCAGTATTACTTAAGCCTGACCTGCATTCTCCTGATCCACACAGAACAGATATAATCTTACTCTATACATGTACATAATGGGGGAAGGATAATAAAATAGGTTAGAAACCTCCCCACCCAACCCTCCTTATGGTGGCTTATGGGATGTGTGTATACGGGAGGTCAGGGACACAAAAGATTATGTATGCTTTTTTTAAAACATTCATCCGGCATTTCTCACTTCGTCACGTTCGACGTTACGTCGACGTACCGACATATTGGGATCGCGCCCGAGAGCCCAATCACCTTTGATTTGACAGGACTTGATCGTATCCGAAGGACAACTGTGGTATGAGTGATATACAAATAAAAATTAATCATCTAGTCAACGAAAGCACTTATAAACAAATAAATTCCTCTATAGTATAACCAGAACTTTACAGATCTCGTCTATAGAGTAATCCACTTCTGTACAACCGGATCAAACGTAAGATCATGTTCCGTCTGTTTCCTCCATGTGGGGTTGGGAAGAGTTTTCACAGCTTCAGAAAACAAACGTGAACATGCCAAAACAGTTTGTATCCCCATGGCAACAGACATCACTTCACATGACACGCCCGTTAAATTATTATTTCTGCTGGAAAATTATGTTTACTATGTTGGCCTGTTAAATAAAGACCCAGTGTGAAATTGCTGCAACAGGGCTTACAAAAGCCAGGGTTATGAAACATTCAATCCCTACATTTGAATTCAAAGTTGCAATTAAATTTAAATACATGATCGGTTTAAATATGTTGACATTCATTCATTCAGCAGACTCTTTTGTCCAAAGCAA